AAACTTGAAGAAAATAATTGTTACAAGATAAATAAAACTTACAACAATGAATTAACTGCAATTTTTTTATTCATTCCCATATGGGCAGATTTTTTTCCAAACCCCGCTGCATGCCTATCCAGGCATTATGTCCCTAGTGTATGCAGGTGAGAGATACCATAGAAGAGGAACTAATACGTATCGGGGTATGCATGTTTTCAGGTTTATGGGATATTGGCAAGTTGCTTTCCAAAGTTATAAGTGCACCAAGTTACATTCCCACAAGCAGTAAATGAGAAATCTTGTTTCCTTACTGTCCTTACTAATGTTCTTACTAATATACTCTATTATTAGCATTGTAAATATTTTGCCAACTTATTAGATGTTTCCCATCTTGTAAGGTCAACCATCTTTTCACAACTTCTTGATCATTTGGGTTTCTTTCTTTTTTAATTTCTTTTTAATGTTTATTTATTTTTGAGAGAGAGAGAGAGAGAGATCACCAATGGGGGGAGAGGGGCAGAGAGAGAGGGAGACACAGAATCCAAAGCAGGCTCCAGGCTGTGAGCTGCAGCACAGAGCCTGACGTAGGGCTTGAACCCACGAGCGGGGAGATCATGACCTGAGCCGATGTTGGTCGCCCAACTGACCCAGGCACCCCCATTCAGGTTTCTTTATAGTGATTTTCCTGTTACTATTCTTGACCCATTATTTTCTTTGGTTGTTTGGTTTTTTAAACTGATTTGTAGGTACTCTTTGTATATTCAGAATACTAATTTTGGGGTGCCTGGGTGGCTCAGTCAGTTAAGTGTCCAACTTCAGCTCAGATCACGATCTTGTGGTTTGTGAGTTCGAGCCCCACGTTGAGCTCTGTGCTGACAGCTCGGAGCCTGAAGCCTTCTTCAGATTCTGTGTCTCCCTCTCTCTCTGCCCCTCCCCCGCTTGCTCGCTCGCTTGCTCTCTCTCTCTCTTTCAAAAATAAACATTAGGGGTGCCTGGGTGGCTCCGTCAGTTAAGCAGCCGACTTCGGCTCAGGTCATGATCTCACGGTCTGTGAGTTTGAGCCCCACGTCGGGCTCTGTGCTGACAGCTCACAGCCTGGAGCCTGTTTCGGATTCTGTGTCTCCCTCTCTCTGACCCTCCCCCCTTCATACTCTGTCTCTCTCTGTCTCAAAAATAAATAAAGGTTAAAAAAATAAATAAAGATTAAAAACATTTTTTTTAAATATTCTTTAATGGTTGTGTTACTCTTTTGAAGGCTTATATTACTTTTAGAATCACTAGAAATTATTTTTTAAGGTGGATTCAAATTTATTTTTTCTCTGAACCTTAATCTTATGGGTATGCTGTGTCTCTTCTAGCTGCTGAAATGAGGCAAAATGACAAAATCACATGCATATTAGAAGGCCGAGAAAGGAGAGATAGGAAAAGCCTCTGTAAAGCCATCAATGACTTCCAGCAGACCTTCCAGAAGCCAGAAACTCGCCGTGAATTTGACCTATCTGACCCCCTAGCCCTTAGGAAAGATCTCCCAGCCAGGCAGTCGGATAACGACATTCGGAATACAGTATCGGGAATGCAGAAATTCATGGGAGAGGATTTAAACTTCCACGAGAGGAAGAAATTCCAGGAGGAACAAAACCGAGAATGGTCCTTACAACAGCAGCGGGAACGGGAGAGTGCCCGTGCCCACCAAAGATGTGCAGGTAATGAAGCCCAAAGGGACAAACCGGTCCCAATACTTTCTCCGACCAATCAAACCCGTGGGTTTCCCCCTGCTTTGTTTGGTGTCTCATGTCCTACCACTGTGCTGTGTTGGCCGCCGGGGAAAGAGCCTGTGTTCCAGGATGTAAACGTCTTCATTTCTGAGCTTGCAACTCTGTGCTCCCCCTGGGCTCCAGCCAGGTGCAGGTGCAAAACCCACCCTGCCCAAAGGAGGTGCCCAGTCTGCTGGGAAGACAGTGGGAAATACACAGGTCCAGTTGGGTCTTCTGGGGGCTGTGTTAGAAGTTCTCGCAGGGAATGGGGGGCGGCGGGGTGAGGCCTAGGGCTCAGGGGTCACGTGTCCTCACCAGGACCCTCCAGGCCCAGGGAACCTCTCTGGCAAAGCCACCAAGACCTGGGACAACCTCCATCCCTGAGGCAGTTGCGACAAGTCCAGTAAACTCTGCCTGCACTAAGGTGACCGGTGTTTTCTTTTTTTTTGTTTTAAAAAAAAATTTTTTTTTTTTGGTAATTTTTATTTATTTTTGAGAGAAAGAGTGCGAGTGGGGGAGGAACGGAGAGAGAGGGAGACACAGAACCTGAAAGGGGCTCCAGGCTCCCAACTGGCAGCAACAAAGCCTGACGCGGGGCTCGAGCTCACGAACGGCGAGATCGTGACCTCAGCCGAAGGCGGACGCCTAACCGACAGAGCCACCCGGGCGCCCCAAGGTGACCGCCAAGCTTCCGCATCCGAGCTCCGTTTTCAGGCGGCTCCTTCATCTGCGGCCTGTGCCACAGCTGGTCATCTCTTCCTCCTGGAAATATTTCCTCTGCCAGCTTCCAGGACCCGCTCTCATCCCCCGGCCCCCTGGTTGGTTTCTCCTCCCCTTCCGAACCAACCTCCGGGTGTTGTTGCTTACCAGTGCCCTCTGCGCCCTGCCTGCCTCAACCACACTCGGTCTCTTGGCGCTCTCAACTAGTCTCGTGGGTTTAGATACCACCGATAGGCCATCTTTCCCCCAAACGTACCCTTCCAGCCTGGATTCTTCCCTGATTCTCAGCCCACACGTCCTGTCACCTCTGGACGTTTATCTGCTCTTGGGTGTCTAACGAACTTATCAGAGTCAACACAAGACACCCTGGCCTGCCCCCCCGTGAACCGCCACCCCCGTCAATGGGAACTCCATTGTTCCAGTTGCGCAAGCCCCAACCCCAAGGCGTCTTGACTCCTTCCTTTGTCTCAAATGCCATGTCCAGTCCAGCAGCAAATCACCCCAAATCACAACCGCCTCTCTCCACCTCCACTCTTACCCCTCTGGGCTAAGCTGTCAGCATCTCTCAGTGCGATTATTGCAATCGCCTGCAGGTGGTCTCCGTGCTTCTGCCCTTGGCCCTCTATAGTTGCTTCTCAACCCAGTGACCAGGATGATCCTGCTAAACATTAAGCTAGATCTTTTGCGCACACCCTTCCAATAGCTTCTCATTTTACTCAGAATAAGCACCAGATTCATCTCAAGGACCGGGAAGGGGATCATCTGGAATGATCCCCTACCACGCTGCCTTTCATTCCTTTCATCCTCGCCACACTGGCTTCCTCACTCAGAATGTTAAGTGTGTCAGGCTCACTTCTGCCTCAGGGCCTTTGCACCTACTGTTTCCTCTGCCTGGAAACATTTCCCCATATATCTGCATGGCTTGCCCCTTATCCTTCTTTGGGTCTTTGATGAAATGCCATCTTACCAGAGAGGTCTCTCCCCTGACCACTATTTTAAATTGCAACCCCGTACCCTCCCCCATGCCCATACTCTGTATCCCTTTCCTTGCTGTATTTTTCTGCAAAGCCCCATCACTGACATACTGTATGATTATGTATTTGTCATCCCTCTCCCCAGCATCCTATCCCGGGCTCGTTGAAGGCGGGAGATTTGCTCTGTCTTAGTCACTGCTCTGTCTTTCCTTCTCGGCACATAGATATCTGTTGAACAATGCATCCGTAGGGCTTTCGAGATCTCCGCCACCTCCCAGGCTCTCCACATGTCCATCTCTGGCTAAAAGACTTTGTCTCAGCCTTGGACTTGGTCCTTGAACTGCCCCCTGGACATCTCCCCAGGCACTTCAGAACATCCTGGAGAGTAACCCTGAACTTCCCTCTGGCTCTGCTCCTCCCCCCGCCATCCTCCCCTCCATCAATGACACCTCCTTCCCTAGTCAAGTCACAAACCCAGGAGTCCTCCTTGAGCCACCCTTGTTCTCAGGCCATCCTCAGTTCCCGTCCTTCCACCTCCTGCATGTATCTTGAATGGCCCGCTTCTCCCTTCCCTGCTGTCACCACAGTGATGAGTCACCACCTTTTTTTTTTTTTTTTAATCACCTGGAGGGACCACACCAAGGGCTTTCTAATAGTCCTTCATGTTCTTTCTTGTCCTTTCTGGTCTCTTCTCAACATAGCAGTCAGAGTGCTGATTTTTTTTTTTTTTTTAATCACCTGGAGGGACCACACCAAGGGCTTTCTAATAGTCCTTCATGTTCTTTCTTGTCCTTTCTGGTCTCTTCTCAACATAGCAGTCAGAGTGCTGATTTTTTTTTTTTTTTATTTTTTTTTTTTATTTTTTATTTTTTTTTATTTTTGGGACAGAGAGAGACAGAGCATGAACGGGGGAGGGGCAGAGAGAGAGGGAGACACAGAATCGGAAACAGGCTCCAGGCTCCGAGCCATCAGCCCAGAGCCCGACGCGGGGCTCGAACTCACGCGAGATCACGCGAGATATCGCGAGATCGTGACCTGGCTGAAGTCGGACGCTTAACCGACTACGCCACCCAGGCGCCCCATGATTTTTAAACAATGTCACCCCTCCTCCCTCCATCCCAGCTTAAAACCCTCCAATGGCTTCCCTCTTACATCTGGAACAAAATGCAAAATCCTCCGTAGCCTACAGGGCCCTGCGTGCTGGGCCACTGCTCAGCCCCTGTGTCACCTTATGCCCCCTATACCCCACTCACTGTGTTCCAGCCACTTGGCTTCCTTTCACTTCTGGGTGCCGACAGACCCTTGTTCATGTCAGACCCGTTGCACCTGCTCTCCACCCAGCTTCTTGTCCTTCCAGACCTCAGCTCCAAGGTCACTTCCTCCCAGAGAAGCACTCTTCCTCTCTTCCTCCCCATCCCCGTCTGCCTGAGCCAGGTATTCCCAGCGTGTCCCCTCCCAGGAGGACCCTTTCCCCCTACAGCACTTCCGCAGTGTGCATTCATAGATCTCTTTCGGGGTTCATCTGTTTGTGACCTGGCTCATCGCCCAGACAGTAAGTTCGCCAAAGGCAGGAAGAACCCTTTCTGTCTTGCCCGTCACTACACACTTTGTGCCCTGCAAAGGGCACAGTCCTGCGTGGACCTCCTCGTGGCGCTGTGTCAACTGAAAGGATGAATGAAGGAGGGGAAGACAGATGAAGCTCAAGCGGAACGGAGGCCCCTGCCTCACGGCTGGAGTTTGCTCTTGTGTTTGGACATCAGGAGGATGCCATGGGGCACAAACACCACGTGAAGGACCTTTGGATCGGTGGCTTTTTTTTGTTTGTTTGTTTAAAGTAACAACCCTGCAATGTAGGAGTTGTCCTGCTTCCCAGATGAGGGCTGGAGGCTCGGAAAGGTTGGGTAATAGTTCAGGTTTGCAGAGCTAGGGAGTGTCTGGGCTGGGATAGGAGCCTGCTCTTATCTGAGTCCAGATCTTTACCTTTTGTTGTTTGCATGTTCCACGTTAACCTCTTCTGATGCTGCTGCTGCTCATTGGCCTGGAAAAGTCCTAGTGTCACTGCATGAGTATCTCCCCACTCTGACACCCCTCCTCTGCGGAGCCCCATCTGCTCCCCACAGCAGAGCTCCCTTGTCCATTGTAAGAAGATGGATGAGGGCCCCAGCCCAGGACCACAGCAGACATCACCAATTCCCAGCAGAATTTACCCATCCCCAGCAGACATCACCAATCGCCAGCAGACCTTACTGATCCCCGGTAGTGATGCTGACCCTTGGGGCCTGCAGCCAAGAGCTCTACCTGAATCACCTCATCTAAGTGTCCCAGCAGCCTTGAGCATCCCCTCTCTCCGGGTGAGGGCAGGATAAGAAGAGACGCGTGGCTGGACACTCCACAGGGTGCTCTGCGCACCTGGGAAGGAGCTCTGGGCGGGCAAGCGAGGTGTGACTGCGTTTCGTTTCCTTTCAGAGGACCTCTACTTCAAGACAAGGCTGCAGTTTGATGAAACGGCCAAGCATTTACAGAATCTGGAAAGTGCCACCAGAAAGGCGGTTTGTGCAGCTGTGAAAGAATTCAACAGGAACCAGGTAGCTCCCGGGACGCCCCAGTCTCCCCGTCCCAAGTCCCAAGCTCAGCCCTTCACCGACTCACACCACACAATCCACATGGCCCTCCCGGGGGCTGCCCTGGTACAGATTGAGTGCGCCCCCGCCCCTGCTCCTGAGCTTGGGAGCCTGGGGATGGGGGGGAGGGGGGCGCGGTGGGCTTGTCTAAACTCTGCAAACCTCAGATTCTTCTCTAACACCGAGGACAGTGACATCTACCTAAACGGCCATCCAGCACTGCTCTGGCATCCTGTCTTGGTCTCACTTCTTTGTCACCTCTCAGAGCTCATCCTCATCAAGACCAGGTCCTGGCACTCACTAAGGGCCACAATCATCATGTTGATGATCGGGGCTCCTGACACCTCCCTCCTCTCTAAACTCTGCGGGACCTCCTCCCAAACTCTCCACCTCCGGCCTTTTGCTCCGCCCGTTCCCTCACTGGCCTTGCTTCAAGCTCTCTATTCCTCCAGTTAATCAGACCCCGGCTCCAGACTTCTTTACAAATGCAGTTCTACTTCCTGGGTGGGATGGGGGCCGCCCTGGATTCATTTATCCGGTGAACTGGTTGCCCAGAACTGTGGTCTGTGGAGTAGGGCAGGCGGGACGATGAGCTGGAGAGCAGGAAGGGATAGGAGAACTCTGCTGCAGTGTTTTTGCAGCCTCGCCGCGTTTAACTCCCATGTGTGCATGTGTATTATGAAGCACTGTTCATGTGTGGTCTAATGGTGTCACGCTGTGAGATAAATATATTGGAACACAAGCTCAAAAATGTCCTGCTGGTGGGACATTTATGTAATCAAAACCTCCGGGAGAGGCGGGACCAGAGACCAGAGACCAGAGAGAATG